TCTACCGTTCGTAACCACTACTACACCATGCAGGACATTACTGTGGGGCATGAGGGCTGCTCATGTTTACCACTTTTTTATTTTTTAAAAGAACTGCATATTGCTCTAGAGAAGACAGATTTAATGAAGTTTGTTTTGAAATATCACAAAATAGCACAAGCAGGAAGGGGTTGTGTCATTCATTATTATTTAGTAACATCCAGTGGGACTAGTGAGTGCTATGCAACCACATGCCATGCACAAATTGTATGAACAATGCATGTTCTGGAACTACATTTTCTAAGTAACCAAACATGAAGGTTTCAGATGCTAGGAAAAAGAGAAGTCTCAGCAAAAGAAGCCATTCAGCCTCAAAAGCAGACATTTGAATCTCCTTCAGAATTTGGTTAACAACTAGCTCAGTGTTTCCCAACCTTTTTTGGGCAAAGGCACACTTGTTTGATGAAAAAAATCTCGAGGCACACCACCATTACAGCCCCGTGACGTCAGCGCGCAGCGTCGCGCCGGGAGGGACGCACGAAAGTGTAAGTTTCAATTTTTTCCCCTCCCCTCCTGTGTAAAGGGGAATGCACTCTGCTAAGTAAAGGCACTTGCCACAGCAGCGTCAACGTCACAGCACCCACCGGCACCCAAGAGAGAAGGGGTCTCAGCAGCCCTTTTGCCAGGAAGAGGAGCAAGAACGAGAGGAGGAGGAGGAAGAGGAAGAGAGTCCCCCCCAAAAAAACATTCTCCTTTTGATCTTCCTTATTTGCAATTTCTCATTGCAAAACAGCGGTTGATATAGAGCTGATTTTTTTGTTATTACAGTCCCCACCCCCTCACCTAGAAAAACACCCCCTGTCAATTTTATTATTATCATTATTATTATTATTATTCCCCGCCACTCTGGGAGGCTGAAGCCCTTTAAGGCTTCCTTCTGTCCACTCTCTGTGAATTACCTGCCCGGAGCGGGTTTCTGGGGGGGGGGGGCGCTGCTGCCGGTGTCCTCCCCGTCGAGTCTCGCCTTGCCTGGCGCGTGGCGGCCGCCCTTTCCCACACTCTGCCGGCTGCGCTGCCAAGCCCCGCGGCTCGGCCTGTCAGCGTTACCGGGCTCGGCGGGCGGTAATTCCCGAAGAAAGCCGGCGGCGCTTGAAGAGCTGGCAAGCCCCCATTTGCATGTCTGTTTTCCGCAGCCCTTGGAGAGGATTAAGTTCCCTCCTTCCTGCCGGGGAACCTCCAAGCTTTGGGGGTGGGGGGGGAGGAGGCAGCAAAGCGAGGCAGGAAGGAGAGCGCGGCTTGGCTGGGTGAGCTTTGGCAGGGGCAGGGAATGAGAGCCGCGAGGCGGGCGCTGCGGGAGGAAGCGCTGCCCGCCGAGCTCGCAGGCAGCCAGGCAGGCAGACGGCGAGAGCCCCGCGCTGGGCGGCCTCTCCTCGCCGCCGCCGCCCTGCCTCTCGCCGCCCGACTCGCCCGCCTCCCTCCCACGGAGGTAGGCTGGTGTGCCGTGGGAGGGAGGCGGGCGAGTCGGGCGGCGAGCACACGCGGGGCGGCGAGCGAGCTCCCTCCCACATCCCATCGCCGCTCGCTTCGGCCGGCCTACTGGGCTGTCGCAGGCGGAAGGCCTGCGCATGCGCGAGGTTTTCGCGCCTTCCTCCAGTAGGCCGGCCGAAGCGAGCGGCGATGGGATGTGGGAGGGAGCTCGCTCGCCACCCCGCGTGTGCTCGCCGCCGCCGCCCCGCCTCTCGCCGCCCGACTCGCCCGCCTCCCTCCCACGGAACACAAGGCAACGTTCCGCGGCACACTAGTGTGCCGCGGAACACCGGTTGGGAAACACTGAACTAGCTATCCTACAAACAAAAAACAAAAACACCACCTGGGTCTGAAATTACCCATGAATGCTCTTTGCCTCAATTAATTATATAATGCTTCACAGAGCTCAGTCATTTTGCTTTATTGAGGATAGTCCCATAATAGATAGACAGATAGATATAAAATGAAGCAATATGAATGTTTGGGTCCATAAATAGCTTATTATTATCATTCTTATCTTCACAAGTGCCACACCTGAAACAGCTGTTTAAAATATTTATTCTTGATCACCTACACATTCAGATAAACAAGTGCAATACTCTGTGGTCTTCTTATAAAGTTTCTGTACAAAGTCATTATGAGTGAGGGGATTCTGCATCCCAGAACAGCCTCTTATTCATGCAAAGAGTAACCTGCACAATGAAACCTCTTGCTGGATTAGAGCTATCAATCCATGTTCTCTACGGAACTTTGCACATGATTTATTTAAATAATTAGAATTCACATTTATGTTTGCAACCCAACTGTCCTGATAAAAATATTGAATAATGAATAATTGTAGTGTTCTTGTGAGGAATTATTCACCACAAGAACAATCAAAAATATTCACCATGGATATGACTTTATTACCAAACTATTGTGCAATCAGAACTAATCTCATATTGGGTCAGATAATGGTTCCATTCAGAGGCTTCAACCAATCACACTACAGTAGCAAAGTCAATAATGGTACATTCAAAAGCAGCCCTAATATTCTAGCACTTGGCAGGCATAATCACTGCTTCAAGTGGATGCTATAGATTTTAGTAAACATGCTAAACTGAAATGAAAAAACCATAATGGTACAAAGATTTCCAGGTTTGACAATAAGGGTGTCACATTTTGTCCAGCAGCAGGATACTATTATAAACCAGCAACATTCTTTTAAATCAATCTAGTTTATTATTCACTTCCGTATTAGCCTAGCAAACTAAGTATACAAACAATATTGATGTAACAGTAGAACATGCTGGGAAGCACCTGTCAATTCTTAATCACATGTGTGCATTTCTCACAAGCTTCTATCCTTTTATTTTCAGGAAGATCTGCTGGTTGTTCTGAAAGACTTGGAAGTTGTTTATTTCCCCCACTTGTTTTTCTATGTATTTTCTTATAGAAATGGGTAACTGTTGTTTTTGGACAGTGGGTTCACCTCTCACCCACTCTCCTCAGTAATACTGTATAACACATGAAAAGCCATAAAAAATAGTATGGCAGGTGTGTTCTTTTTAGATATTACAACCCTATTTTTTAAAGCACACGCTATTGCTTCATTTTACCATGGATACAGTGCAAGCAAACAATATTTAAAAAGCTAAGCATACTTTGCAAATGTGTGTGTGATGCAAATAAATTAATAACTAATTGTAAATTTTTAAAAAAATGCCCTCAAGCTCAGTAGTAAAGCACATTCATTACAGGCAAAAGGTCTCAGGTTCAGTCACTGGCATCTCCAGACATGGTTGGCAAAGACCCCTGTCTAAAATCCTGGAGAGCCCAGCCTTGCCAGTTAGTGTCAACAATAATGAGAGAGATGGACCAAAGCACTGACGTGCTATAAGGTAGATTCCTATTTTCCTTTCACTTTACAGCAAATATAATACATACAGAACTGAATAGGCAGCTATAAATCTTGTACCAACAGTGCGGGGGGGGGGGGGGAATCAGTGCTGTGTTTATCCTAGACTAGGAGAATAAGGTAGAGATATCTTCTAGCGAACCAACAGGGTTGGTTCATACTTGAGTCATATACAATTATTTTAGTAAACCAGTCACAAATTCTGGATTTTGTTTCTGGAACTGCCAAATTTAATCTGTTGCTTCAATTTCTGGATGGATTAGGGAATAGGAAATTATTTATGTATAGCAAGCCCTGATCATTAATTAAAAAGTTAATTAAAAAAATGAATGGTATGCACAGTAAACAACAGAATCTGAAGAGCCTATTTAATAGTTCACCCCGAGAACAGCTGACAACTTAAAGCTATAAGCCACTCCTCACATGTAACAAACAGTTCAGTAATTCATAGTGTTACCAAAGAATGGTAATTTATTCTAAAGTGCTGTGCAGACAAGTACAGTTTGTTCTCAGGCACTGCAAGAGAACTATTCAGTATCAGTAACAGGAGCTGATGGCTAAAACACTACCTAGTTTGGGGCCATCAGTGCAAGAATATTCAACCTAATCCTATCTTGCATGGTTTAATTATAGAGATAACTGTATGGCTTAATTAATTTATCAAGGACATGCGAGCTACACAGGCCCAACTGAATTTCACCCGTTTTAACCTACCCATTTCAACAGCAGCATCACATTGGAAGCCTCGACAGAGATGTATCCGGTTTTAACAGCACTACTGAGCTTTAAAGCTTTCCTTCCAAAATAAAGCCCTAACCCTGAGTTATCACTACTTCCCGGAAGCAGAGCATACAGTGTCTCTCTGAGGAAACTGGGCTCCATGACTGGAAGACGAGACAAGCACACATTTATTGCAGGGCCATGTGCAAAACCGGGCAGCACTAGGGTCTTCTCCCCACCCCCCGTATCTGGGAACTTCCAAAGAGAAAAGCAAGTGTGGTGATTTTGTTTAGTTTGTTTCCCGCAGGGGGTTGCTTTTCTTTTCCTCTTTGGATTAAGCCGCGTTCACCAATCCTGCCAGGTTTAAGGGTGATTAGCGGAGAAAGCGCTAAATATAGCCGCGTAGTAACTAATTGCATTGCTTTCCCCGGCTTTAATGGCTCCCTGAAGCAGCGGCGGCGGCGGCGGCGCCCCGCTTCCTTTCCCACCCAGGCTGGGCTGCAATCTGCATCGCCGGGCGGGCGGATTTGTTGCAGTGACCTTCTTCTTCTTCCTCCGCTCCTCTCCCCGCAACTCTGCCCGACACCCGCCCCTTCTCCTCCTCCCAAATCACGAAACCAGATGGCGACGCGCGTTAACGAACATCTGAAGCAACTGTAGGGGAAGGGGAAGAAGCCAGGCACAAACTGAGGAGAGAAGAGACCCTCACCGAGAGCGCCAAAACCGAGGGGAGAAATCTGGCCTGGAAACTGAAACAAGCGAGTGGGGCGGGGAGAGAGAGAGGGACACGCTTTGTGGAGGCTGGGCGCTACACAACCCAAACCCGGTTCGCGTTCACACGTTTGCTGCCCGAAGAGATGCCCCCCCCCGACGCTACCTGCTCTGTAGTCGCCGTTTTGGCCCAACTCGGAGAGGAGCCTCCCCCACATGGCGGGGCCTCCGCGGGCGGAGAGAGGGCCGTCGAGGAGGAGAAGCTCCGGGGGTCCGCACGGAGACCCGCGCCCGCGCGCGGCCTGGACGGCAGAGGCTGGAAGGGGCAGCTGCTGCTGGTCGCTCATTGTCGGCCCGCCGCCGCCGCTGCTCCTGCCCTTCGCGCTTGGCAGCCCGACTCTGGCCTGCGAGGACCCGAGGCCATGGTTGCTGCCGGCCAGTTCCTTCGCAGGACTAGCAGCGGAAAGGACAAAACTCGCCTCCTTCCTTCCTTCGCTGCTGCTGCTTGCTGCTGCTGCCCACACACTGCAGCTTCCCGTCTCTTTTCTTCCTCCGCCTCCTGCTGCTGCTGCTCGGTGCCGGGCGGGGACAGAGGCGGGAACCCAGCAGATGCTGCCGCTACTCTCTGAAGAGAGGGGAGTTGGCAGCAGAAGCGGGAGGGGGCGGCAGGCAGCACGGAGCCCGCCAGGGGTAACTGGAGAAGCGGGAGAGGAGGAAAAGGAGAGGGAGGGGAGAGGGCTGTTTCTTGGAAAGTAGCAGGAGGCAGCCCGGGAACGTGGATCCGGGAGCACATGCGATAGGGCTTCTGAGCACGTGCAGAGGGCCGGACCCCGTGCGTCTGACACCATTAGGAGGAGACGATAGCCTGGTCCCACTCAGAAGACAGTTTTGAGTACAATAACACACTGGTTGTTGAGTTGAGCTAGTTCAACCACAATGGGTAAAAGGGAAGACATAATCTTTCTGGTTTGGTTAATACTGGACTAAACCCTATTGGAGATACTTTACACAGGGCATGATAAGGCATGGAGGCTGCCAAGAAATGAAAAGAACATAAGCACTTAAATGCTTAACCTGGATAGCTCAGTTGGTTAGAACATGGTGCTGATAATGCCAAGGTTGCAGGTTTGATCCCCGCATGGGGCAGCTGCATATTCCTGCATTGCAGGGGGCTGGACCAGATGATCCTCAGTGTCCTTTCCAACAATTCTATGATATGGTGGTAATGACTGTATCTGAAGGCCTTTTGTTCAGAAAGATCACATGGCACTTCCTTGTGCAAATGCAGTATCTAGCTGTAGCTCTGTAGCTGTAGCAATGTGGTGCTCTTCGATGTGATGATGTGGATTGCAGCGCCCTTCAATCCCCACTAGCATGGCCAACAAGAGAGATGGGCACCGCAGTACACACTAAATGGAGGGTGTCATGAAGGCTATCCCTGCCCAATGTGATTAAATAATTGGGGGGGGGTTGTCGAGGGGGGGGCTGGAATTGAGCCAAAAATCCACCTATATCTGTAATCAATAAAGTTGTGGTCATTTCTAATCCAGTCATGGTCTGCTTGAGTTGATTAATTACATCTTACATTTAGCAACTGCCTGGAGTGGGGGTGTGGCACTGCGACTGGGCCCACAATAAACTAACTTTGTGTTGAGTTCCCCCATCTTTCTTCCAGAAAGAAAGCACTAGTCACAAGGATAATATGAGAATCAGGCCACAAATGGCTTCCCACAGAGGTGGATTTAGGGCAACACAACTGATTTCCTCACACTGGGCGCCAAGCTGAGGGGGTCACCACACAGCATCACATCTATGACATAGTGCACATGCAGAATGGAAGGCAAGAGGCAGGGGGGCACCAAATTTTGGCCTCTCACAGGGCGCCACTGAAATTCGAAAGACCAAAGTCCACCCCTGCTTCCCTCATAGATAGGCTCCCTCACCACCGACCCCTCTCGCTCTCCAGGCTTCAGGAAGCTCTCCGCAAGCAGTGGGAGAGCTGCCCGAAGTCGCGCAGCTCTCCCACCGCTTTGCGGAGAGCTGCCTGGACCCAGAAGCCTGGGGAGCGCTGCACAGCGCGCCCCGGGCTTCGGCAGATATCGGGCAGCCCCACAAGCTCGGGGGACAGCAGGGAGGCGCAGCGCGCCTTCCCGCTGTCCCCCGAAATGGTTTGAAGGCTGGCGGCGGGGAGAAGTGCGCTTCTCCCCGCCGCCATCCCCGCAAGCTCGGGGGACAGCGGGGAGGCGCAGCGCACCATCCCGCTGTTCCCCATCCTGGTTTGGATTCCCCGACCTGGTTTTTGGGGGGAAATAAAGGGGGGAATTCCTTTATTTCCCCCACAAAAAAACTGGGTGCGTCCTATGGGCCGGTGCGCCCTATGGGGCGAAAAATACGGTATATGGTTTCTAGATTATGCTAGGACCTGTCTAGATACATACAAAGTTTGGTATTTGCCCAAAGCAGGAACATGGATAAATACTAGATATACACCTCTCTCAAAAAAGTTAGTCAACCTATTAATCACCAGCACACCTGCAGACATATAATTTGTAAAGTACAAGCTACATTTACTGTGGATTTCTACTGAAATGAAAAACCATAATGGTACAAAGATTTCCAGGTTTGACAATAAGGGTGTCACATTTTGTCCAGCAGCAGGATACTATTATAAAACCAGCAACATTCTTTTAAATCAATCTAGTTTATTATTCATTTCCGTATTTAGCCTAGCAAACTAAGTATACAAACAATATTGATGTAACAGTAGAACATGCTGGGAAGCACCTGTCAATTCTTAATCACATGTGTGCATTTCTCACAAGCTTCTATCCTTTTATTTTCAGGAAGATCTGCTGGTTGTTCTGAAGACTTGGAAGTTGTTTATTTCCCCCACTTGTTTTTCTATGTATTTTCTTATAGAAATGGGTAACTGTTGTTTTTGGACAGTGGGTTCACCTCTCACCCACTCTCCTCAGTAATACTGTATAACACATGAAAAGCCATAAAAAATAGTATGGCAGGTGTGTTCTTTTAGATATTACAACCCTATTTTTTAAAGCACATGCTATTGCTTCATTTTACCATGGATACAGTGCAAGCAAACAATATTTAAAAAGCTAAGCATACTTTGCAAATGTGTGTGTGATGCAAATAAATTAATAACTAATTGTAAATTTTTTAAAAAAATGCCCTCAAGCTCAGTAGTAAAGCACATTCATTACAGGCAAAAGGTCTCAGGTTCAGTCACTGGCATCTCCAGACATGGTTGGCAAAGACCCCTGTCTAAAATCCTGGAGAGCCCAGCCTTGCCAGTTAGTGTCAACAATAATGAGAGAGATGGACCAAAGCACTGACGTGCTATAAGGTAGATTCCTATTTTCCTTTCACTTTACAGCAAATATAATACATACAGAACTGAATAGGCAGCTATAAATCTTGTACCAACAGTGCGGGGGGGGGGGGAATCAGTGCTGTGTTTATCCTAGACTAGGAGAATAAGGTAGAGATATCTTCTAGCGAACCCAACAGGGTTGGTTCATACTTGAGTCATATACAATTATTTTAGTAAACCAGTCACAAATTCTGGATTTTGTTCTGGAACTGCCAAATTTAATCTGTTGCTTCAATTTCTGGATGGATTAGGGAATAGGAAATTATTTATGTATAGCAAGCCCTGATCATTAATTAAAAAGTTAATTAAAAAAATGAATGGTATGCCACAGTAAACAACAGAATCTGAAGAGCCTATTTAATAGTTCACCCCGAGAACAGCTGACAACTTAAAGCTATAAGCCACTCCTCACATGTAACAAACAGTTCAGTAATTCATAGTGTTACCAAAGAATGGTAATTTATTCTAAAGTGCTGTGCAGACAAGTACAGTTTGTTCTCAGGCACTGCAAGAGAACTATTCAGTATCAGTAACAGGAGCTGATGGCTAAACACTACCTAGTTTGGGGCCATCAGTGCAAGAATATTCAACCTAATCCTATCTTGCATGGTTTAATTATAGAGATAACTGTATGGCTTAATTAATTTATCAAGGACATGCGAGCTACACAGGCCCAACTGAATTTCACCCGTTTTAACCTACCCATTTCAACAGCAGCATCACATTGGAAGCCTCGACAGAGATGTATCCGGTTTTAACAGCACTACTGAGCTTTAAAGCTTTCCTTCCAAAATAAAGCCCTAACCCTGAGTTATCACTACTTCCCGGAAGCAGAGCATACAGTGTCTCTCTGAGGAAACTGGGCTCCATGACTGGAAGACGAGACAAGCACACATTTATTGCAGGGCCATGTGCAAAACCGGGCAGCACTAGGGTCTTCTCCCCACCCCCCGTATCTGGGAACTTCCAAAGAGAAAAGCAAGTGTGGTGATTTTGTTTAGTTTGTTTCCCGCAGGGGGTTGCTTTTCTTTTCCTCTTTGGATTAAGCCGCGTTCACCAATCCTGCCAGGTTTAAGGGTGATTAGCGGAGAAAGCGCTAAATATAGCCGCGTAGTAACTAATTGCATTGCTTTCCCCGGCTTTAATGGCTCCCTGAAGCAGCGGCGGCGGGCGGCGCCCCGCTTCCTTTCCCACCCAGGCTGGGCTGCAATCTGCATCGCCGGGCGGGCGGATTTGTTGCAGTGACCTTCTTCTTCTTCCTCCGCTCCTCTCCCCGCAACTCTGCCCGACACCCGCCCCTTCTCCTCCTCCCAAATCACGAAACCAGATGGCGACGCGCGTTAACGAACATCTGAAGCAACTGTAGGGGAAGGGGAAGAAGCCAGGCACAAACTGAGGAGAGAAGAGACCCTCACCGAGAGCGCCAAAACCGAGGGGAGAAATCTGGCCTGGAAACTGAAACAAGCGAGTGGGGCGGGGAGAGAGAGAGGGACACGCTTTGTGGAGGCTGGGCGCTACACAACCCAAACCCGGTTCGCGTTCACACGTTTGCTGCCCGAAGAGATGGCCCCCCCCCGACGCTACCTGCTCTGTAGTCGCCGTTTTGGCCCAACTCGGAGAGGAGCCTCCCCCACATGGCGGGGCCTCCGCGGGCGGAGAGAGGGCCGTCGAGGAGGAGAAGCTCCGGGGGTCCGCACGGAGACCCGCGCCCGCGCGCGGCCTGGACGGCAGAGGCTGGAAGGGGCAGCTGCTGCTGGTCGCTCATTGTCGGCCCGCCGCCGCCGCTGCTCCTGCCCTTCGCGCTTGGCAGCCCGACTCTGGCCTGCGAGGACCCGAGGCCATGGTTGCTGCCGGCCAGTTCCTTCGCAGGACTAGCAGCGGAAAGGACAAAACTCGCCTCCTTCCTTCCTTCGCTGCTGCTGCTGCTTGCTGCTGCTGCCCACACACTGCAGCTTCCCGTCTCTTTTCTTCCTCCGCCTCCTGCTGCTGCTGCTGCTCGGTGCCGGGCGGGGACAGAGGCGGGAACCCAGCAGATGCTGCCGCTACTCTCTGAAGAGAGGGAGTTGGCAGCAGAAGCGGGAGGGGGCGGCAGGCAGCACGGAGCCCGCCAGGGGTAACTGGAGAAGCGGGAGAGGAGGAAAAGGAGAGGGAGGGGAGGGGGCTGTTTCTTGGAAAGTAGCAGGAGGCAGCCCGGGAACGTGGATCCGGGAGCACATGCGATAGGGCTTCTGAGCACGTGCAGAGGGCCGGACCCCGTGCGTCTGACACCATTAGGAGGAGAGAAAGAAAACAAGTTCCAAGTCAACACTTTTGCAACTTCTCCATATATTTATTTATATATATATATACACACACACACACACACACACACACACACACTACTGAGAGGCTTGATAGCATGGTCACCAAAGGGTGAACTTTGTAACGATAGCCTGGTCCCACTCAGAATACAGTTTTGAGTACAATAACACACTGGTTGTTGAGT